TAAGTTTCTAATTTTTTTTTCCTGTAGAATCCAATCCTGTTATCAACACAAAGCATTTGAGAGCTGGTTTAATATACAGTCAGTTTTCCAGATATACGACTATTGTATCAATCAATACTGTCTTCTTCATAACATTAGCAAGATTGAATCATCATTTCGGAAAATCCTGTCACCAACAGCAATGTCATTCTGGTAACTGAGTCCCCAATCCCACACACTTGTGTGGGTTGCATCTGAACAGACACCCTACAATCCTGCATTACTGGCTGTGGAACGTGCCTGGCAAGAATTCTCTTCTGACTTGTGTCCCCAGCTCGAGGGACTAGACCAGACGATCCCAGCCAATGTATGAAGAGTGCTGCATGGGAGCAGGGGCTCGGCCCCGCGGCCAGGACTTCCCTCATTTACTCAACCCCGGTCCCTTGAGGCTCGGTTCGTAAGGTTGTTTGTGTATTTTGTTCTGCTGTGTGTGTACTTATCATTTTCCTCTCTGTATCTTCTGGCTTGGACTGGAGGCGCCTTTGGGTGGAGTGACATGTCCCTGGCAGGACAATTTCCCGAGATATTCTTCAACTCCGGCCTTCCCGGGCCTGCAGCCCAGCAAGGCGGGCCATGTCTCTGCCTCCCTTCACATGCGTGGCAGACTCACGAGCACATTTCTGTCCAGGTGGGGGGTGTCTCCTGAAGCCCTGCAGCACCGTCACCTCCTGCTTCTCTGGAAGTTTCACTGCTAATATCCCCTCTTCCTATAACAGTGAGCTGGTTCTGACACTGGCCCTGCTTCTCTGAGGTGAGGGAAGGGCAGTGAGCAGTTTCCACATCAACCATGTGCCCTAAACAGCAGGCTCCAAGCCAGAGTGGGCATTCATGAACCGTGAAGTTTCCACCGATAAATCAGGAGAAGTTTCTAGCACCTGCCTTTCTGCCTCACTCCCCTGCCCCCCAGCCACCTGCAGCTAGTGGCCCAATGTTGACAACAGCTAACAGAGACCCAGGCACAGGGATGAAGCCAGGGCCAGGGCCAGTCTCCTGGAGTGCACGTTAGAGAGTGACAGCAAGCAGGCTACCTCATCAGACACAGACGGACCCCAGATGTGGACAAGTATGGCAGGACCCCTCCCTGGTTGTGGGGGCCACAGCTGGACTCTGTCTTGAGATGTTTGGCCAGACTTAACACCATGTATGAGCCAGGACCTTTGTAGGCAGAAGTGACAGAAACCAGACTCTGACAACCTTACACAACTCCATTAATTTACCTGTGGTTGCTATGACAAATTATCCAAACTTGCTGGCTTTAAACAACAGAAATTTATCCTCACGGTTCCAGAAGCCAGATGTCTGGAATCAGAGTGTGGCAGGGCTACTGTCCCTCCAGAGGCTCTGGAGAAGAATTCGGTCCTGGCTGCTTCTAGCTGCTGGTGGCTGCCAGCATTCCCTGGCTGGTGGATACATCACTCCCATCTCTGCCTGTGTCTCATTTCCCTCTGCCTCTCTTATACAAGGATTTAGGGTCCCCTCGAATAATCCAGAATAAGCACTCCTCACAGGATCCTTAATTTAATCACATATTTTGCCATGTAAGATAATATTTACTCTTTTGCCTGCATATAAGGTAATATTCACAGGTTCCATGGTGTAGGATGTGGACTTGACTTTGGGACCACCATTCAGCCCACTACAGCAACAAAACCTTCAGAAAGTTGATGGCCCAGGAGTGGCAAGACAGTGCCTTTCATAGACCAAAGCACCTTGTCCCTTCTCTTGGCTGCTCTCTGCAGAGCTGGCTGGGTCCATGCCCCAAAGAGCCTCAGGCCACCCACACAAAATGTTCACTCTGGGGGAAAATGGAGCCAGGCTAGGGGGCCCAGGGACCTTTCATTTCCCCCCTGCGCCAATAAGGAAGCCTCTTTTTCGTTGGGCCTTGTCTGATGTTAGAGGCTCCGCCTGGGTACGCCTGAGTCTGTCTGCTTAGAAGGAAGACAACCAGCTGCCATGGAACAGCTGTGCAATTTTCAGCTAGCTTCTGCTCACTTAGATCTTCCCAACATTTTGAAAGGTACATGCCTATGTTTTACTCCAATTATCTGAGTACAACGTCAAGTAAGTGAGCTTAGCATATTCTCACGTAAGGCAAGTTATGTAACAGAAATTTAATTCTATGTTTGGGCCATCATGCAATCATGGTGAGCAGGACAAGGTGATGCTTTCACTTCCCCATCCTGCTCCCATTCCCTCCCCCTCCCCACCACCAACACACACAGTACCTCCCCAGCCTGCCTACGTGTCCGCTCCCATGCAGGTGTAGGTAGTTGAGAACATTCCTCCTTCATAAAGTGAAAACAGGTTGGACTCTCACTTGGCCCAATATCTTTCCTTTTTTCCACCAGAAACTGCCCTCCCATTCCATGTGATCTCAGTGGGCTAATGCCCCTCTCCAGGCCACCGGAAGAGGCTTATAACCCCTGCTGGGGCCACCAGGTCCTGCCGGGGACAGTCCGTGAATGCTGGGAAAGAGAGGTGCCTTTCTCTGCCGAGAATTCTACAAGGAGAGATCACAGATGAGAGCCTGCTGCTGGCATTCTTACCTGCCCTGGGTGAGAGCCTGCCTGGCAGCAGAGGGGAACCAAACATAGGCCAGCAGGGGCAACTCATTTGAACCCCTGGAGACAGCTGAGCCTGAAACTCAGATGGTTGAGCCGGTGCCCAAGCCAGTGGGATTTGTGATTGGTTTCAATCAGGAGAGTCCTGGTTGAAGCTGGGAGGCTGGTTAACAGCTGCCTCATAAAGTGTCTGTGGGTTTGCTGTGAGTTCCTAAGTACTCAGTATCAGACCTGGTGGCTCTTTTTCTGGCTAGGACAGACCCAGGCCTGGGCTTTGGTGTGGTCCGTTCCTAACCCATGTCTTGAGTCAGGTTCTCCAGAAGCTGAGCCCAAGATAGGAACTCTCAGGCCCTGATTTATTGGAGTGATTACCCTCAGGGAACCTCCTAAGTGAAGGAGGCAGGAGTGGCAAGAGAAGGAGCTAGCTCGGATGTGGCCTCAGCTGGGATCCGGCATGGAGCTCTGGAGCAAGACTGGCATACAGAACTGTCCCATGTGAGGCAAGCAGGCTAGGCCTTGATACCCCCGCCTCCGCCAGTCATTGGCTGCAGTCCATGTCAGGGAGCAGAGTATAACTTTACAGGCATTCCCTTTAGAGGAGGGGGCAGCTGTGAGCAGTGTTTGCAGCCAACATTCCCAGCGGCTTGGGGATGGGTTGCAACTGGCCAGAGAAGCCTTGGAGCAAAGCACCAACAGCCACGTCCACTTCTACCAGATTCATGGCCTCTGGCAAGCCTCAACCAGGTTTGAGAAGAGCAGCTTGGAGCCATAGGATCCCTTCACTCATCAGCAGTCTCCACGGTTTTGAGGAAGGAGGAGGTGGGCAGAACGCTTAGTATCTGTCCCCCGTTGTTCTGCCCTCTCCTCCCCAAACTCCTTTGCAGAACTGAAATTTAACACAATGCCCTTGGCTTCATTGGGTCCACACTGGCCACACACAGAGAACGTTCACAAAAACTTTTATGATAAATTTCCCTCAGCTCCAGGAGAGGGTTTGAATCTCTGCAGATAGAATATGCAGGAATAAAAAACAAAGCCCTCATTGCCCCTTCTTTCAAGTGTCAGTCAGGGCTGGGCTCAGTAAGCGCTGTGGTGGGGCTCCGCTAAGTGAGTATGGGATCCCGGACTCCCAAACACCTCAGAGGTGGGACTGTGTCAACCATGGAGGGCCTAGGTTTGGCTGCAAATAGCAGAAGCCTAGGGAGAAATTGCCTTAAACAAAGTAGAGGTGTCATTTTTCTCATGCACTGAAAAGTCCAGAGGGAAGCAGGCTGGAATTGGTGCAGTGGCTTAATTTTCAAGATGGTGCTCTTATCCCAGACATTGCCACCAAGGTCTTGGCAAGGAAAGGGGAGGGTTGAGGCGACTCAAGGGATCAGTCAGCAAGTCAGGTCTCCTGGAAGCTTCATCTGTGAATTCCATTCATTGGCCAGAACTATGTCACATGACTACTCCTAGCTGCAAGGGAGGCTGGGAAATGTAGTTTATTTATCTGAGTATTAGCAGAGAAGTAAAACAAATAGATAAAAGCAACCAAAATCCCTGCCACTAGAACCTGGCAGTAGATTCATTTCAGATGAGGAGACAGAGCCCAAAGAAGTTCTGAAGCCATCTAAGGTCATCTAGGTCATCAGAAACACCCTGTAGCTAACCATAGGTCCCGGACACAGATCACATAGAAGCAAGGCCAGTCTCAGTGCACATTGGATTTATTGAGATGTGGATACCATAACTAGTGCTGGGTTAAACCATGGGGTAGGTGGCCACATGGCCAGTGCAATGCAGGGAACTGGATTCTCACCTTCTCAAGGTGGTACCCACCAAGCAACATATCACTCTGTCATGGGACGTTTGTCATGGGACACAGGTGATTACCATCATGGGTGGCACATAACTGGGAAGGGGCCATGAAAGGCTGCAGTGTTAGAGGACGTTTTGCCTATAACTCTGTTCAGATTACTCTTTAAGGTATAATCTGCTTGGGGGCTGATAAAATCTATAATTCTTGGAGTTTGGTCTCTCACCTTTTCTAGGTTATCGTGGGGCCTGGTGAGGCCTTGGCTACACAGGTGACCCCCTCTCATGCCTACCCTTTGGGAAACCCCAACTGTTCCAGGGTCTGTGGAGAAAGAGACCTACAACCAAGAAACCTACTGAAAGGAAAACCATGAGTTTTGCAATTAGGCCTGCAGCCTATATGCCTCACTCCAGGGGACAAGAACACAGGATGTCCAGAGCAGCAGAAGGCAGCAGGGCAAGAGCACTGGGGCCAGCGTGGGGCGGGAGGGTAAGCCAGTCCCTTTTCAGTGGGGCAGTAGGCCACAGAGGTGGCCAGGTACCTCGGGCAGGGAGTGGGGGGCGGGGATAGTTGGCTGTGCTGTTCAAGGTCTGCTGTCCTAGTCAGAGCAGAGTCTGGAAAGCCAGGGAAGAGAGATGGAGAGCAGGGAGCACCCCTTCAGGGATCCAACTGTGGAGGAGACCTTGGAGGCGGGGAGCAGAGTGTGGGCTTGAGGCCAAAGCCTAGCTCTTGCTCTTTGTGTCCATCCCCATCCCAGGTCATTCATGTCCATGTAGGCCCAACTGGCATGGAAGGGTGGGAGAAACAGTGCAGGGGGTGCCAGCTCATCCACCCCCTACCTGCACCTACCTGCAGGAGGCTGTGCTCAAGGTCCTGGCTGGAGTCTGGATGGTCCTGCAGGGCTGGGGGCTGCCAGCTGTCAAAGGCCCGTATAGCGCCATCTACAGAGGGAGGGGTCAGGGTGGGCTTGGCTGGGAAACCCTGGCTCAGGGGACAGCTCCTTGGGGACAAACTGAGAAACCCCTGGGGACCTCCATGGCCTCTCCCTACGAACAGCTGGAAGACAGAATGTCTGCCAGGACTGGCTTCTGGAATGAAGGTGCAGGGTAAGGAATAACAAAGTAAGGACAGCTGTGCTATGAGTGCCTCACAAACCTTGTAGTTTTCCATCCTCACTGGGGAGAGTGACAGTTATCACCCCCATTTTACAGATGGAGGCAAAATGGCTTAGAAGAGGGCTTCACACCCAGGCCCCCTAACTCTCAGCCTGGGCAGGGAACCACCAAGCTACCCAGAGGAAGGCAAGACCATCAATGAAAGGAGTTGGCGGTACCTCTGGGATGGAGCTGCCTCAGAAGTGGCAGAAGCAGGAATCTCAACTAGTTCCGTTCCAGGTCCTCTCCCGCCCGCAGGGGCACCAGCCCACACACCCCTAGGAGCCTACTTTGGTCTTTGATTCCCTGAGGGCAACAGGACAGCAGAGGGAGAGCGGACCTGCCTGGCTGCCGCAGAAAACCTCCCTTTCCTCGCCTCTTACATAGGCTCCCGCCGCAGGGCGGCCTGGTCGAGGGCAGTAAGGACCAAGCGTACTCCCCCGCCGCCCTGCCCCGGCCCCGGCCCTGGCCCCGGCCCCGGCCCTCACCCAGGCAGCGGTTCCCGGTGAAGAGCCCCCGGAAGGCTTCGCACTCCTCCCGCCGATTCCCGCTGGCTCCGCAGTCGCACCAGGGCGCCACGCGCGCGCTCCCGTTGTCCACATAGTTGGGGGTGACCGCGGTGCCTGCGGGGACCCCGAGAGCGCAGGAATCGGTTCACCAGGCGGAGGAAGCCCGGGGGAGCCCCGCCCGTGCCCGGGCCCCTGCATTTCGTACCTACGAGGCCCGCGTAGGCGCGCAGACAGCGGGAGGCCTGAGGGTGCGGGCAGCCGTCGGGGGCGCGGGGGGCGGGCGCGCAGGAGGCCTGGAAGGCCAGGAGGCGGGGTCTGCGCGGTGCGGAGGGAAAGCCATGAGCCAATGGGCGGCCCGGAACTCCAGCCCCGCCCCTCTAGCCCCGCCCCCGCCCCTCCAGCCCCGCCCCCGCCCGCACCTGCAGACCCCGCTGCGCTCGCAGGCGTCTAAGGGCGCGAGGCAGGAGGGCGGCGGCCGGCCGGGCCGGGAGAAGGCGCAGGCGGGCACGAAGGTCTGGCGCCGGCGCTCGGCGCACGCGGGGTCCGCGCACGGGCAGAAGAGCAGCGCGTGCGTGAGCGCGGGCGGCCCGCGGGCGAAGAAGCGGCGCAGGGCGCGGCGGCAGCGGGCGCGCGCACAGGCCCCGCCGGCGCCGCCCGCCAGGCACCGCGCCACGTACTCCGTGCGCAGCTGCTGGCACCGCGCGTCCGCCGTGCACGCCTCGGCCGCGTCCACGCAGCGGTTCCGTGCGGCCGAGCTCGTGGACCCTAGAGGCGGGGCGGGCAGACTGCGGTCAGTCCTCGGTGCGGCCCCCGGGCCCCTCTGAGATGCGCTCAGAACCCGCGAAGAACAGAGGGTGACCTGGAGGTGTGAACCACCGGCGCTAACCGGGCCGGCCGTCGCGGGGATGAGCGGCGGGCCCCGGGGATTCCTGCAACACTTCAGAGGATGGGCCTTGCCCCTAGAGGCCGAGGCCCATCCTCTCCAGGCATCACCCCTCTCCCAAAACGGCCCCACCCATCCAAAGAGGGATCCCCGAGTCTTCTCCCACTCTCATGAGAGGCCCCTGACGCGGGGAAACAAGCTTCTGGGGACCTGGTTAATGGAGACTTATCAGAGATTGCCTTGAGGACAGTGGATACCCCTCATCCTCACTCATGCATGCTGAGCTTTTCTTCTTTCTCTTCTTTCCCTTTCTCCCCTCTCATTTGGAGACCCTTCAAACGGGTCCATAGATTTCTGGTTCTCCCTCCTTCCTGACCTCCACTGGCCCCTGCCCCTGGAGTCTTCCCCCTCCATTCCCTTCCGGTGCTCCCTTCCGGCCGGTCTAACCCATGCTGCCCCATCTGGACTCTGGCTTCCTCTTGGTTCCTCCACCCTCTACCAGCAAGGCCAGTGGTCGGCAAGCTCATTAGTCAGCAGAGCTAAGTATCAACAGTACAACGATGGAAATTTCTTTTGAGAGCCACATTTTTTAAACTTAAAACTTCTTCTAATGCCACGTCTTCAAAATAGACTCGCCGAGGCCATGGTATTTTGTGGAAGAGCCACACTCAAGGGGCCAAAGATCAGCATGTGGCTCGAGAGCCGCGGTTTGCGACCACTGAGCTAGGTGAAAAAGGAATTCTTGGAAGGGCTCTGGGTACTGGACAGTCTGGGTACTAAGGTGTGGATCTGAGAGAAGTCTTCCAGGGCAGGCCTCAGGGCTCTATCCTGAGCCACAGGGCCAGAAAGTGCCCCTGGCACAATCGGCACACACCAGGGGTTGGTTAGACAGAGGGTGAGCTCTGGGCACAGGTGCTGCAGGCCACATCGAAATCCAGCCCAGCCGGCATCCAGAGGTTGAGACTTGGCAGCCTCTTAGAACCTCGGTCACCAAACCAGGCTCCCTCTGCCCCTCACGCTCTCTGAGCCCCTAGAAGCTGGCAGGACACCCCAGCCTGGCCCCACCCCATCTCACTGTGTATGTTGAGGGGGGGTCCCCTGCTTCAGGGCTTGGAGCAGGGCCCCTCTCTGGCATTGGCCACCTCTTTTGGGTGCCCTGGTGATACTTGCAGTGGCTTCAGTGCCCTCCTCTCTGCTGGAAGGACAGACAGACACTAAGGACTTGGAGCGGGTATGTAAGCGGTTTGGCAGGAGAGGGGTGAGCCCCCTTCCCCCCTCTTCTCCCCTTCTCCGCCAGGACACAGCGCAGCAGGCGAACTCTGCCCTTCTCTCCCAGCAAAGCCCCTCCTGCTCCCAGGCCTCAGCCAGATACACAGTCCCCGTGTCTGTCCCCTAAGGTCCTGGCTCCACCTCTGCTCCTTTGCTTACCTGTCTCCCTCGTGAGGAACACCCTTACCTCATCATCACCCTCAAAACAGCACTCAATCTCGGCTCCAAGATCTCCTCTGCCTTGAACCTTCTCCCCCTCCCACCCAGTATGACCCCCTCCACGATGCTTCAGGTGGGGAAGGGACCGTCTAAGCAGGTGGGACAGCAGGGGAGTGGCCCGGAGACACTGAAGATGCCAGGCAAGAAGTCAGTATGGAACTCCAAGACTGGAGGAGGGGGCTGAGGCTGGAAGGGGAAGGAAGCTGGGAGAGGGGAGGCAAAGGGAAAAAGGAGGTTCCTGGCGCACTAGTTCCACGGTGGGGCTTGGGAAGGGGGCAGGGGGCTGACCGGAGGCAGGAGGCAGGATGAGCAGAGCCCTGTGAGCAAACTGCCAGGTGTCCCTGCATCCCAAGCACAGGTCTCTCGCTGGCGACACTTCCTGCCGTCCAGCTTTTCCTGGAATCACCCTCTTGTCCCCAAGAATCCAGGATAGAGGCCAGAGTTCCGGGGTCCTGGGGAAGAGGCGGCCACTCACTCAGCAGCAGCAGCAGCAGCAGCAGCATCCCGGGCCCCAAGCAGCGGGCCATGCCGGTCTGCAGAGTAGAGGACAGCGCCAGGCAGAACCCCGGTGGACAGGTGCCTTCTTCCCGTCCTGCCTGAGCTGAACTGGGTAGAAACCCAGACGCGGTGCTGACGTGAGCACTCCTGCCACTGGGAGGAGCCTTTGCATGGCTCCCGCCCCCTCTGAGTCCCCACCCTAAGCTCCGCATCAGGTAGATAAATATTTGTGCTTTCCGATGGTCTGAGGCAACCCTGCTAGCAGTTCTCAACGCCTTAGGCTCTATAGCAGCGGTTCTCAACCTGTGGGTCAGGACAGGTTGAGAACCGCTGCTATAGAGCCCAAGACCATCAGAAAACACAGATATTTACATTACAGTTCTTAACAGTAGTAAAATTACAGTTATGAAGTAGCAACAAAAGTAAATTTATGGTTGGGGGTCACCACAACATGAATAACTGTATTAAAGGGTCGTGGCATTAGAAAGGTTGAGACCTACTGGTCTAGATGGACCCCACAGCACCCTCCTCCCCACAGCAACACCTACAGCCACCCCAGGAGGCCTTGTCTCTCCCATTCTAAACAGTGAACTCTTTGAAACATTGTTCTTTGCCTTTTATAATTTTATTAACTTTTTTTAAAAAAATAGGTTTTTCTTTTCACCTATTTTTAAATAGGTAAATTTTTAAATTCACCTATTTTTAAAGAAAGAGGGAGGGAGAGAAACGTTGATCAGTTGCCTCCAGTACATGCACCAGGGATTGAACCTGAAGCCTGGATATGTGCCCTGGCCGGAATCAAACCAGTGACCTTTAGGTGCACAGGACAATGCTCGACCATCAGAACCACACCAGCCAGGGCTATTTTTAACTTTTTATTATTAACTGATTTCAAACTTGAACAAAGGTTGCAATAATGTTAAGTGTTTGCTTTACACCTTTTACCCAGCTTCCCCTTGTGTTAGCATCTCACGTAATTATCATATAACTAGAGGGCCAAAACTGGCAGTCCGACATCCCCCGAGGGATGTAGCAGTGCGGGAAGCGGCAGGTGGCCAGGGGGGAGCTTGAGCCAGGTGCTCCTGCTCATCCCAGCCCCAGTGCTGCAGAGGCAGCGTTGCCATAGAGGCAGGAGAGGCTGATGCCACCACAGCTGAGCTCTCCAGCCATGAGTGGCACTCTCACTGTGGAAGTGCACTGACCACCAGGGGGCAGCTCCTGTGTTGAGCGTCTGCCCCCTGGTCGTCAGGGCGCAGCACAGTGACCTATTGACCTATCTTTTGGTCGCTTAGGCTTTTATATAGAGAGATTGCTAAAGCCAGGGAATTAGCATTGGTACAATACAATAAACTACAGACCATTTTTAATTTCTCCAGTGTTCCCACTAATGTCCTTTTTCTGTCTCAAGATCCAACCCAGGATCCCACGACACTCAGTGGTCATGTTGCCTCACCCTCCTCCAATCTGCGGTAGCGCTCCAGTCTTTCCTCACAAGCCCGGTGCTTCCCCGTGCAGCCCTGCCTGCCCCCATTTCTTGGGGACTGTAAGTGGCATCAGTCTCTCCAGGTCCTCACTCAGTCATCTCCATAAATCAAAATCTCACAGATACAAAGAATGCAGGACTTTAGGAAAGTCTCATCCAGCCTCTTGAGCTGGGGGCTGCCTCTTCTGTGCTGCCGATGGGAGGATCGGACACTTACAACAATTCCCCAGCTCCTCACACGCTCTGAAATGTGATTTTGCACTCCTCCCATTAAGTGGATATATATATATATTTTTTCTCAATCCCTGGAACCACAGAGCATTATGGTAAGTAGCATGTGCCAGTCATGGAATCTTGGGAGATCTTACAAGCTTCCAATCTATTGCAGGATGAGGTGAGAGAACTTGTCACAGGATCACCATGGCTGACTTTCCCTTTTGCCTCTGGCTCTCACCTGGCTTGGCGTGGCACTGTTATTGATCCCATCTCTACTTAAAAAGGTCAATAGTTTGTTCATCATGGATTTTTAGTGTGTAAGGCCTTTCCCCCTTATCTGGGTGGGTTATGCCCAGTACCCCTACCCATCCTGCCCGTCTTACACAGCCCTTTAGCGGCTGCCGCATGGCGTGGTGGATGTCCACTTGGTCTTGCCGCTGCCCAAGATGTACCTTGTTTATGTTCCCTTAATACGCTCTGGTAATGACGGCGTTGTCAGCCTCTTCCTTTGGTCTCTCAGACCTGGGAAGTTTTACAGAACAGATGCATTCTTGGCTGGCATGATCCAGCCCTAAAGAGCAGAGAGAGCACTGGGCAAACTCTGATGAGGCTCTGGGGTCCGGGAGTGGGTAGGGCCGATGTAACTTGAGGAAGAAACTTGCCAGCTGCCTGAAAGTACAGGCCAGCTGACTTGCTGACTCTGCCCCTGGCAGTCCAAGTGCCAGTAGCCACCTGTTTTTAAGTGTCCTCATCCCCAGATCCCCCTCTCACCAGAGGCAGGATCTTGGCTTCTGGACTTGTCCTGTTGAAAATGAAGTGGGGGAGGGGTCATCCCCTGAGAACTGGGACCTCAGGCTGTGGGTCATGTGGCAGGGACCCCCCGTCCTCCCTCCGTGAGGACAGATGACCCAGGAAGAGCCATCATTTCTCCCTCCGCCACTCCGGACGCTTCCAGCATCTGGCCTCTGTGACAGCAGCTCCAGAACCCAAGCTCAGAAACCCCAGAGTAGGGAGCAGTGAGCTGAGGGGCATTGGGAGGTGGAGGCCCCCACATCAGGGTACCCACTTACCTTGCAGGTAGGGCCACAGGGCACAGGGTTCTCAAGGCGGCTGTTGGGCTCTGGCAGGGATCTCAGTGCCTGGGAGTAATGGGTGGAGAATGAGTGCTGTGAGCACAGTTGGCAGTGGTAGGGCACAGGGGACTCAAGGTGGCTGGGTGTTAAGTGTACAGAGGGGGCCCAAGAGTCCCTCCCTTCACTTCCTTCCCCATCTCCCCTGCGCCTCACTCACTGAGGGGTCGGGGCTCTCCAGTGGTCATCGGGCCCAGCTCCAGGCGCTGAACCCTGGCCGGCGGGTGATCCCTGCATGGGCCATCTTTGGGCCTGGCCAGCGAGATCAGAGGTTGGAACAGTGCTACTGAGCAGGATACCCCTTCCCCTGCCTTCTGTGTTGACTGAGTCTCCACCCTTCTGCCCTCGGTCACTCTCTCTAGTGGCAGCTGTTCTGCTCTCTTTGCCATTGGGTGGCCCTGCTGCCCTCGATGACTCCAAACCGTTCTTAGCTGCCCATGCCCCGTCTCCGAGGGCCTGCCACTTCCATGTCTCTTCACAACAGTCTCCACTGCCCTCCAGACTCTGCCCTGGCGATGACATGCCGTTACTCCCCTCCTGGAGGCCCCCCATGCTGATACACCACGCTCTGAGCACCTTGTACCACTGCCCACAGATCTGCAATCACTGCTCATTGTGCCAACGTCCCTCACCTGGCACCTGAGACTTGCCTGGTGCCCACCCCTGCCAAGGATGGCCTCTGTCCCTATCTCCAGCCCAATCTCTGCCCTTTCCCCTCAGCTTGTGCTAGGTACACCCAAGGCCAGGCTATGTCAGATGTGGCTATGAGGGGCCTGCCTTGCCCAGGACCCAGTGAAGGGGTGTGGTATTGTAGAGCCCTCCCCCGGGTTATGAGAGCTGGTTCTGCGTGGGGCCTTGGCACCAGGGCCACTGGCGCTATTGCTGACCAGTGGTATGGAGTGGAAGGATGGGCCGACCCAGCATTGAGTAACCTGAAGGAGGTAACGGCAGAGATTTAGGCAGAGGAAGTGACAGGCCGAAAGCTCATGAGAAGGAGGCTGGGAGGCCCTGAGGGACACAGTGGAGCAGGAACTGCATGAGGAGCTGGTGGAAAACAGGGCAAAGTCAAAGATGAGGCAGCCTCCTTGGTAGGAGAGACAGGAGGATGGACAAAAAGGGACTGAACCACAGCAACGGGGAAGGGACCCGCACCCTTGGCCCCTGGTGCCTCCTGCTCAAAGCTTCTTTCCACTACCTCAGCTGCCTCTCTGCCTCTGGGGACGAGGCTTAAGGACACCACCCAAGCTGTCCCAGGCCCTGCAGTACTCTGAGGAGCAGGAACCACAGGAGTGGGCTCAGAGAGCAGGGACCTCAGAGCCTACCTACTGTCCCTCCCTGAGCCCCACAGGCATGGCTGAAGCTGGGATCCCCGCTGCCGGCAGCAGCACCAGGCCAAACCGGCCCCGGGAAGCAGAGGCAGAAGGAAGCTGGAGATCACTGCCAGCAGGAAGGCGTCGTGGTCTGCAAAGGACAGGGTGAGGCTGAGTCCTCCGGAGGAGCATCGCGGAGCCCGGGCCCACGTGCCCGTCCCCCCCCCCCCCCATGTGCGCACTTTCCGGCTGCACAGGGCCGCTGTCCAGGCTGCCCCCAGGCCCGGGCTGGTCGCAAGAGGGTGGAGCCCAGCCAGGATCACAGTGGCAGTTATGGTTGCTGTTGCAAACCTGCAGAGGAAGAGAGAAGGAGTGTCCCATGGGATCAGGGACCTCAAGGTCACCCCCCCCACCCACCCACACACACACACACACATACACACACACTCAAGACCACTCACCCCATGGCCGTGGCAGGCGACCAGACAGAGCTCCAGCTCCTGAAAGGTAGTGTTCTGGCAGCGCCCGTCCTGGCACACCTGTGGGCATGGTGTGCACTCAGCACCGGGCGCGAGTGATGCTCTGGCCTAGGGACTCAGTGGCAGGGAGGGGTTGGGTGGGCGGGCTCACCATGGCGGGTCCACACTGGGTGCCTGGCTCCACCAGGCCCAGGTCAGGCAGGACCAGCTGGGCCCCCGGTAGCGGGAAGGCTCCCCTGCAAGTCACCTCGCGGCCGTCCAGGCGGAGGGTAGAGTCCACCGGCATCGTGTGCGGCGCCAGTGGGCTCTGCTCCCCGCCCTGGCACTGCAGCTGCCCACACTGCGCATCCCTGGGGACCAATTGGCATGTCAAGCAGCATGGGGGGGGGGTCCCCTTGTCTCCAACCCACTCCCCAGCTTCCGGTCCCTCTGTTCCTCTCCTCACCTCTGCGTACAAGGCACGTAGCTGCCCTCGGCATCCCTTCCGCAGTTGCCATGGGCGTTTCCGGCCGAGTTCACCACCTGGAAACAGGCCTCCGGTGCTGGGCGGGAGCCTGGAGGGGCATGGGCGGGGCTGGGACTGGGCTGCCCGCGCCCTCAGTTCTCCCCCTTCGTCCCCACCCCCACCCCCACGTCTTTCCTAGAGGAGAAAATTCCTCCAACCCAAGGGTAGGGACGGAATGCAGGGGCGCGCGTGCCTTCTCACCAGGTCCCCAGAGCTGCTGGCACTGCTGCTCCAGCGTGGGGCACACGCCGTCCTGGCAGAAGCCCCGGCCGCCGGCGCAGGGCGAGCCGTCCAGCAGGTGCAGATCCGGGGGGCAGCGGGGAGAGGCGCCCGTGCAGAACTCGGGGAGGTCGCAGTCTCCCGCAGCCCGACGGCACGGCGCGCCCGCCGGTTTCAGCTGCGAAGGCGACCGCGAGGCGGGAGGGCGACCGAGACACAGAGGACAACGGACAGTGAGAGGTCCGCGCCGACGGCGGGGCTGGGGGCGGGACAGGGTGGCGGGAGAGCGGGGTGGGCCCGGGCGCAGGGCGGAGCCCGTACCCGCGGGGACGGGGGCGCCAATCTGCGGGGGCCAACAGGGCGCCCCCCCCGCACCCTCCTCCCGAGCCTGCCTGCCCCCCACCCTCCCTCCCTCCGGGCCTGCCTGCCCCCCACCCTCCCTCCGAGCCTGCCCTGCCCTCACCTGGCAGCTGGCGCAGCAGGCCCCGCGGGAGCACTGGGCCCCCGCGCGCAGCGAGCAGTTGTGGGCGACGCAGCAGGGGTCGGGGCACTCCTGGAGCCGAGAAGGCGAGAAGGGACCGGTGAGGGAGCCGCGCCCGCCCTGGGCGGAGGGGGGGTGGAGGAGGTACGGGGCCCGCCGGGGCCTCCGGGGGCCTCACCTGGCCGGCGCCGCAGTCGCACGCCTCGCCCTCCTCCACGAAGCCGTTCCCGCAGCGCGGCCGCCACGCCACCAGCCCCGAGCGCGGCGCGTCCGAGAGGCACCGGCCGCGGCCCGCGCGGAGGAAGGCGCGCAGCTGGCGGCGGCTGCAGGCGCTGAACACGCGGGGGAACGGGTGTCTGCGGGCGGGAAAGGCGTCGGGGCGCGCGGGAATCACCCCCCGAATCCCCAGCCCCTCTCCGATCCCCCCAGTACCCCCCGCGCTGGGCCGCACAGCCGCGCGCCGGCGTCTCCGATGCGCCAGGGGCAGAGCCCGGAGCGGGCAGGTCACCAAGCGGAGTCCCGCAGCCGGACCCGGGCGGGAGGGTGGGGCGGGAGGGTGGGGCTCCCGGAGCCAGCTGCGCGAGACTGAGCCTCGAACCTCGAACCCCAACCCAGCGCGGGCCGTCCTGGAGGAACAGCCTGGCTAGGTGTTTCTGAAAAGAATCTTTACACCCGTGAGAACACCCTTTCCTGTGTTTACTCCAGGTAAGCCTCGTAACCCGGGGCCGGTACGTGGATCAAGCCCCCATTTTACAGAAGAGGAAACTGGGAGAGAAGCATGCGCCCAAAGGAATGCAGCCGAGGAAGGGCCCCGGGTCCACAGGAGCCTCCCTAGCAGTTCCTCCCATCTCTCCCCACCCGGTCCCCCGGTCGCCTGGTCGCCCGGTCCCCCCGGTCGCCGGTACCCAGTGGCTGCTGCCATGACGCAGCCGCCCGGCTCCGCTGCCGCCTCTGCGCAGCAGCCGTCGGGGTCGTGGCTGAGGCCCAGGCTGTGGCCTATCTCGTGGGCCATGGTGGCTGCAGTGCCCACGGGGAGCTCCGAGTGATCCTGCGGGGGCGTGGGGAAGGTCACTGCGGGCTGCGGACACTGCCCCGCACCCCGCGCTGGTCCGGGGTCCGGCCCCACGGGGCTCACCGCGGTTACGCCTCCAGAGCTCTCCACGAGGCACACGCCTCCCACGGGGGCCAGGCCCACGTTGTCGCCCTGGAAGGCGCGGCCCCTGAGGGTGGAGGGCAGCGTGACCTGGGGGCGCGGGGAGAAGGAGGAGGGGCCGCCCAGCGGGGGACCCGGGTGGATGGGGATGGGGGGCACCCACGTGAGCAGCTGCGTGGAGTCGTGTGGCCGCCGCCCCCACAGCCCCCGGCGCCACTGCAGGAAGGCCCAGAGCGTGCTGTTGGCGTCAGGCGTGATGCGGATCTGGTCCTGCTCGGTCCATACTTCCAGGCCGGTCAGCGCCACCCGGATGTCCAGGGTCCTGAGAATCTGTGGGCAGGGCATGAAGCAGGGGCCAGGCACACCATCCTGCTGGGGGTTCCACTCCGTCCCCCCTACATTCTCTCTCCTCATCTCCAAGCCTGCCTCCTCCAGCGGGGACCTGCCCGCCCCTGTGACCGCCACTACCATGGGGTGTCTTCCCACCCATCGCCCCAACCTGGTCCACGTAGTTGGCGATCTCCAGAAGCCGCTGCTTGGTGTGGTTTAAGTCCCGGTGCTGGGTCACAAACTGGGAAGGCAGCGAAGTGGTGATGTGACAGGCTGACCGGCCCCTCGAAGCCCGCCAGCCCCCTGGAGTCTCCTCTCACCAGGGTGTGATCCGCCACGATGTACAGCTCCAGGAACTTCGGGCTTCGCTGGGCCTCCCGCCAGTCCTGCCGAGAAGCAACAGTGACCCCGAGTGGCAGGCTGCTGGCTTGAGCCCTGACCACCAATCCCAATCCCCGGGGGGAGCACAAAGGTAACTTTAAAAATTTCCAAGAACTTCGTTTCTTCAGCCTCCAAATAAATACCAGGACAGGAAACCCTAAACAGGGCCCACACTTTCCTGTCTTTGGGATTTGGAGGGCTGTGGGGACTGCATCCCCACTCCCACCCCGGTCTGTGGCCCTGACCCTGATCTGGGCGGCAGGAGAACGGCTGGTCACGTTCCTTTTGTCTTCAGGATCCTTCTGGCCACAGACCCCTTTCCAGCTAAGCAGCTGCTCTGTCCAGAAGATCCTGTGGGTGGAGGCACTCTCGGCGTCCCCCGCTGGCCAGGGATGCACATAATAGCTGACATTGCTGCTGAGCGTGATCAGACCCCTGGGATGCAGAGGGGTGTAGAAGAGGGTGTGAGTGAATTCTTACCCCAGCCCCAGGCCCAGCCCCTTCCCCCAGAACTCCTCACCTTATCCCAGAGCAGGTGCTGAGGACTACCCAGGAGTCGGGGAAGCCCCTCACACGCCCATGGTAATAACAATGATCCTGAAGAGCAAGGGATCCAGCCTCAGATCCCAGCCAGGACTGAGTGGGAAGGGCAAGGAAGCAGGCTTGGGGGAGGGGAAGGGCTGGCTCCGGCCTCTCCTGAGGAACAGGAGAATGGGGCCGGAATGGTGGGGAGGCCCTTGGGGAGTGCACCCCTCACCCTGTCCTCAGTGCCCATGGAAGTGTCTCACCCTCTGGTTGGGGACCAGCACCACTGGCTGCCCGTCAGGGCTGTAGTGGGTTTCTGTGTATCCTGTGGCCAGCAGCCTGCTGGGAAGGGGTGTTGTAGGGATCACCTAATTCAGCTCTGCCTCCTCCTGGATGCCCTCCCACCTTCCTCCCTGAATGCTAATTGAGCAGCTCTATGAGTGAGGCCCAGGGCTAGCACTAAGAAGCACTCAGCCCAGCCGGTGTTGCTCAGTGGTTTAGCGTTGACCTATGAACCAGGGGGTAACAGTTTGATTCCTGGTCAGGGCACATGCCTGGGTTGCAAGCTTGATCCTCAGTAAGGGGCATGCAGGGGGTAGCCGATCAGTAATTGTCCCTCATCATTGATGTTTCCACCTCTCCCTCTCTGAAATCAATTAAAAAATATATATTTATATATATATGTTATATATTTTTTATTAAAAATATATTTATATATATTTATATTTTTTATTAAAAATATATTTTTTAATTTTTTTTTAAAGAAGCACCAACAGTGTGTCTTAGGAAAGGGACAGGAATGACTGCGTGTTGCTTAGCTCAGAAAAACCTTGAGCTATAGGGAGAAAAGCGAAGAGCACGAAGGAGCTCTGGTGATGGCTTAGCTATGGGAGCTGGGAGTGTGGGGAGCAGCAGGGAGGAGGAGCAATAGGGGCAGTTTGTGATCCGGTGGAGCCTGCGGCAACAGCAGCTGGTCCCCAGGCCTCGGGCTGGGCAAGAGGAGAGGACTCAGGAAACACTGCTGGGGAGGTGGGACTTAGAGCCAAGGTAGTGTGGTTGAATTCCTTGGCTCTAATCCGTAGGTGGCACTTCCTGCTGCCTAGCCTTGTTGGGCATCTGGTCAAACCTCTCTCTGGTTCACCTCCCTGCCTCAAGGATCCTTACATTTTCTCCTATGGCCTGCAGACCCCACATATCTTCCCAATTGTCCTTCAGTGATGCTCATTCCCTTAATGATCCCATCTTTGGGCTCAAGATGGATTAACCATAAGTCAACCTCTCTTAAGGAAAATCCTTGACCCCCACCTCACCTTGACCTCTGTCCTGCCAGACCACCCAAAGAGCTGCTTCTCCATCCACCCCCATCCCCAGTCTTTCCTTCACTTGCTCAGGCTTTGCTCCTCACTCCATGCCCGTACACAACCTTAGGAGGTAGGTGATATGATCAACCCATTGAATGTGGGGGACACCAAACCTCAGAGAAACTGAGGGTAGACATGGTGGAACTAGCTTATTCCTAGTCCATCTGATTCCCTGGGGGAGAATAACATTTGTGGAGTGCTTAGAGCAGTGCCTGCAATGAAACAAGCACGTGATACATAAATAGCTGTTGGTGATATGGTCAGAATGGTGTTAAGATCCCACGCACCATTTTGGTCATCCACCCGATCCAGCCCAGCTCTGCCTGCTCACTCTCCAACTTAAAGTCTCTGGCTCAGCACGAAAATGGCCTCTACGATCCGGTCCCACGGGGGCTCCCCAAACCTGTTGCCCTTTGCTCCCTTCCCTGCCGGACAAAGTGTGCTCCCTGAATGTGCCTTGATCTTTGTACCACTTCACCTTTGCCCTTGCCATTCCACTAGCCTGGTAAGCCTGCCCATCCAGGGAACCTATCTCGGATTCTCTTTGGACTCAGGGTTCTTTCTCCAGCCCGTTAGGTGATGCTCTCTCTGGCAGGGAGCTGACAAGATGGGCCTGGGGCCTGGGTGATGTGCTCCAGCGCTGGGCTCACCCAGCCCAACAGGCCATTTCAGCCTCAAGGGAGCCCTCCCCCTTTCAGCCTCCCTCCTTCCTGGGCTCCCACCAGTCCCTGCCCCCAGCCCTGGTCCTCACCCCCCGAGAGAGTCTGTCTTGGCTCCAGCCCCCTCCCTGGCCTGGTACTCACTGGTTCTTCTCCAACTCCAGGAGGAGCTCCTGGCCTCCAGCCTCCAAGGCTACCAGCCCCGTGTCGAGCTTCAGGGCCTGGGCAAGAAGGGGTGCAGGATGAGGTGGCAGGCAGCCTGGTCTGCCGGGGAGCTGGTTGGTGGGGAGCCAGCCGGCCAGGGAGTTCATGGGGAGAACATGGGGCTGAGGGACAGAAGCGTCCCCAGTTGCCCTCATGGGCATGGATAGTTGGGGTGAGAGCATGCTGATGGGCATGGGTAGTGTGGGGTGAGATGTTCCCAAACTCAGGACGTTTGTTCTGACAATAGCCATTGGATGTAGCCTGTTAGGTACACCCCACGTCCCCCCTAGAGAGACGAGGGGTCCCAGAAAGGACCCTGCCTTGCTCAGGATTGCTAGGCCTTCCCTCTGGCTCTTCCTCCTCTTTCATGCCTAGGCTTCCTCTGGGCAGGAAGGAAGCGGGGTCCTGAAGACAGTGCAGAGGGTGGATGTCAGGTAGCCATGGCTCGGGCCTCCTCACAACCTCTTGTTCTGACATCTTTTCTCCCCACTCCCTGGAGAATTCAGACTTTACTCCTCCACCTCCAATTCTGACAAAATGTCAGGCCCTGAAATTCCTCCCTCTCCAGCAGGCTCGCCACACCTGTTTCACGGATCCTGGGAAGTAAACACAGACCCCTGGCCTAGGCCAAGAGAAAAAACGCTGGTGTTCTTGGTCAGATTGGGCCGGGGGAAGGGCCTGGCCAGCCTCTCCTTCCCTGCTCCCTTCGCTGCTTCCCACGTGGGAAGACTCATCTGCCTCCCTCGTCCATTCGGCCTGGCAGGGGGCCCAGAGGGGGAGGCAGTCCAGGAGAGCTGCTGTGTCTTCGGAATGCTAGCCCAGCCCTCCCTGGCCCTTCCTTTTTAGTCCACAGTGCACAGGGCTGGGCCAGAGGCCAAGGGGCTCCCAGGCTTGTTGTGGAGACTTCCTCCACAGGTGGGGAGCAGACAGCTCCCTGCCCCCACAAGAGCCCAGCAGGGCCCCAGGCATGAGCTCATGGGGCCGGAATGCTACTGGCTTTATTGGAGAAAGGTTTGCACCAGGGAAAGGCAGCAGCCTCAATGAAAAGCCTCCTCCTGCCACCCCCAGACCCCAGAACCCCCTCTCTGTCCCTCTGCACCTCTGTCCTCACTTCTTGCCCTCCTAGTGACTTTACTCCTCGCTGTGTACCCTGAAATGTGAGTGTTTCCTTCCTCTGGGACAGGACACTGACCTCATCTTGGCAGGCTTCCTGGGGGCAAGGGCCAGTAAGTGGGGAGAGCGAGGCCCCTCTGGGATTCCGCTCCTGTCACAGCCCAAGCCAGGCCAGGAGGGTCCACAGTCAGGGTGACTCCAGCAGGAGCCCAGCCCTCTGCTGGTGATGTCCAGGAAAATTATCTCAAAGCTCGGACCAGCGTCAAGCCTGACCACTTGAATGGGGACCCTGAGGGTCTGGGGGACCCCGTGAGGGAGCTGTGGGCCTGTGTCAGCCTCCCAGCCCCATGGCAGTGCTCTCTTGTCTTCCTCCTAAGTGGCTTGGACAGTGAGTTGTCCCTTCTTACCTGAAAAGTCAGGATGAAGAGGGCTTTCTAGGTTGGGGGCACATTGGCCGATGGTTTGAAGTCTTTCAGACCCGAGTGGGTCTCAGACTTCTGGGCTAAAGAGCTGTGTGAACGTGGGCAGTTTCTCCAGCCTCTCCGGGTTTCAGTTCACCCCTCTCTCAGATGGGCATATGGCCTCCTGGTTTGCAGCACAGCTAGCTGGGTGGCACATGGGGCTGGGGCTATGGTTATTCTGAAAGTGTGTGATGGGTGGGTGTTGGGAGGAGACTGGGGCAGAGCATCCCGGAGAAGCAAAACGGGGTGAGCCTGCATCTGAGGGCCAATACCCCCTGGACAGAAGTGGATTCTGCATGAGCCCGTGAGGCTGAAGTTTCAGGCCTCTAATGGCAGAGTCCTGGAGGGGGCAGCAATGTGTCCATAGGGTCATATGTTCTGGAAAACTTTGCCAAAGGCAGAGTTTGTGTTTTCTTAAAGAGATCCTTCAAGTTTCATGCCTGGAGAGTTGTGGGAAGGGAGAGAATGAGCAGGCAGTGGGAGTGTGGGAGAAGCCTGAAAATGACTTCCATGTGTGCAGGCTCACATAATCTACATGTCTCCCCACCCCTGCCTGCTAGCCCTTCAGGCAGGAGCCTGAAGGACTGGGAGCGGGGACTGAGGGAACACAATAAAACCGCCACACTGCGGTCTGGGGAGGGGCCGAGGGGCTGGAGAGCCGGGGCCCTGCAGAGGAAGGGGCGATGAGGCACTGACCGGCTCCTCCAGGGTGATCACGCGCCAGGCTCCTCCGTCCAGGACCCAGTGGGGGGCGACTGGCTCTCCAGGGGAGTTTCCTGGTGTGAGGACAGAGCCCAGGGTGAGGGGGAACCTGAGGAGCAGAGGGAAGCAGGGACAACAGAGGGATGGGGTTTGAGGGCAGCAGGGAGGACCATCCATCTTTAATGACCCATGGGGTGTCCTGGGAACTGAGGAGCAGTCTGAGGGGGGGGGGGTCAGGGGGGGGCGGAAAGGGGAGTTGGCAGAAGAGACAGAGGAGCCTAGGAAGGATAGTTCTGCTGGGGATGCTTGGAGTCCCACTGATCTTGGGGGAGGGCTTGGTGTCAAAGGTCACGAGGGAGAGACCAAGACCGCCAGTGCAAGGGGGAAGGAGGAAGGCAGCCTGGGGTATTTTTAGGCTGGGCGGCAGATGCCTTTAGGGTGAGAGATCTGTGAAGAGGATGCCTGTGTCTCCACCGCCCTCTGGGAAAAACAACAGCTAGATGTTTTCTTGGGAGGCTCCGTTGCTCAGAGCTGCCTTTGGGGCGTCGTGCAGGAAGTGGGGCTTCCAGGGACCCTGGCCCAGGGGCTGGGGGCAGAGCCTGAGTGCTCCCAGCGGGAGTGGTGTGCTTCAGGAGCTCCAGGAGGAATACCAGAGCCAAGCATTACTCAGAGAGGGCTGGAATGCTCTCCTGGAATGCCCCAGTCATCTTCCTCCCAAGGACTACAGCACTACACCCCCCTGTAGGAGGCAGGCCCCGGGCAGCCCGACCACCCACTGGCACTCAGTCCTGGAGGAAGCCCAGCTCCCAGACTGACAGCTCTGCTACCTCCACCCAGCCCTGCCCAGGCTGAGACGTTGGCCTGTGGAAGTGGCTCAGTAATGGCCAGGCCCCCACCCCAAATCCTTTCTCCTTCTCTGTCCCCTCCCCCAGGCCCCATCGTTGAAGACCTGGAGTTGGAGCAACTCCAGGAGTTCCCTTCCCCCAAGAAGCCCTCCCCGATTGGATGAGTGAGTTGCTCTCAAACAGTTGCCATCAGCGAGGGCATGTGTGGGCAGGGGTCTGAGTGCTCCTGGGGAGAGGGGAGGATCTCTTAGCCCAGAGAGGACTTCACTGGGAGTGGAGAGCCAGGTCTTGCTGGGCCCAGGCCTCCCACGTATTGGCCTCTGGCACCTTGATGAGGGAGAGGGGGGCAGAGAAGGGGCTGTGGTGACTAAGTGAAACCAGGGGACCCAGCGTAGTGTTGGGGAGCATAGAGCCCCTCTCCACTCCCCCCAGGGGTTGCGTCTCCCTCCCCTGGCTCCAGGCTGAGGAGGAGGAGTTAGTGGAATGCCTGGGGACCATTCCCAAGAGAGTGAGGGCTGTGGTCCCGCCCCCTGTGGGCTCAGGGATCCTATCCCTGCTGGGTTCCCCCTCCACAGTGCTCTGCAAACTGCCCCCTCCCCAGCCCAGCCTGTCCTGCCTTCTCCCTGATGTCCAGGCCTCCCACCTACTCAGAGCTGCTGTCCAGCCGGGCGGCAGAGGGTGGGAGCGGTTACCCGCTCCTCCTCTAACCAAACATGGCAACAGCATAAACGAGCTACACCCTGGCCCAAGGCCCAGGATGGGGGTGAGCTTGGGTGATGGGTGAGTGTGGAGGTCACAGGCAGCGATCACAGCAGGGTTTCGGGGGGCCAGTGGGCGGGGGCTTTCCAGAGGAGGAAGACCCTTGAGCCCTGAGGGATGGAGGTGCAGGAGGCTGGGACCTGGGGATCCAGGCAGAGGGGTGTGAGCGGAGGCACACTGCTCAGAGGATAAGGATTCCTGCCGCTCTGCCTTGTGTCGGGCACAGTGGCAGGTGGGCAGAGTGCGCAAGTCTGGGCTCTTAGCCCAAGTTCAGGTGAGAATCCCTAGGCAGGACCCAGGGACACCTTCCCAAACCCTCTCTGTTCCCCGGGCGCATTCCCGCATTCCCGGGAGGGAGTGGGTTCAACCCCTCCAACCCCTGACAGGGACCAAGCCTGCCCCTCAGGGCGCTCCCACTCACCGCGGAACGCCTCGGCCCCCCACACGGACCACGGTAGCAGGAGCAGCAGCAGCAGCAGCCAGGCCGGCGGCGCCCCTGGCGCCCTCGGAGACCCCCGGCCCATCGCGGTGCGGGGCGCGCCTGGCTTCTGAGCTCCGGCTCCGCTCCGCTCCGGCCCCGCCCCGGCTGGATCGCCGCCGACCCACTCACTCCCTGAGCGGCCGGCCGGCCTCGTCTGCCCAACCCTCCCCGCGGACCCCGCGCGCAGCCCCGGCCACCCCGCCGCGCCCGCAGCCGACCCCATCCCCATCCCCCGCCCCGACCCTGGACGGCAGAGCCCGAGTGCGCCAGCCCCAGGGAGCCGGGAGCTGGGCGGCCCTCCTGGCAGGAACCGGCCTCTGGGGGGTAGGACTTGCCTGGGCGGGAAGGGAAACCCCGGGACCGGCCCGCCCTCCCGCACCCCAGGTCTCAGGGAGCCCCACACTTGCAGGAGTGGAGGATGGGAATGGGTACACCCTCGGGAAAGGCCTCTGAGGACCGTAGCGGAGGGGACAAAGGCCACCTGTCGCCGCTCGGGTCTGCCCATGGAGCGTCTCCGCTCCGTGGCCTCCTGGGCGGACCTCTGCTCCCTCCTCGTCACTAGCTCTGCCCAGAGGCGCCCTGGAGAGCCCCCCGTAGGAGCAGGGGGGCGAGGGCGCCCTGACAGGAGCGGCGCGGCCGCACTGGTTTCTGTGTCCCCGGGTCGCCAGCCCCGCCCCGCGGAGCGCCCGGGCTGGCGAGGGGAGACTGGCTGGCTCACAGGCAGGGCAGGTGGGGTGGGGGGTGGGGTGGGGAGGGAGCCCTAAGTCCCCGGCGTTGGCCTGGGGTGGGGCTGGGGGGTACAAAACCATACACTCCCGGACCTTAGGGATCCTTTCGGCCGCGGTAACATCTGCTTCTGGTTTTAAAGGCTTATTTGTGCACTGATCAGTAAACTCGAAGTTGCAAGTATTCCCATAGGGAGGGATATTAACTTTTAAGCCAATGTATTTGTTGTTGAGAAATCGGAGCGTGGCAATTCAGTCAGTAAGAGTTTCAGCAGCAAGGGAAATCTATGTTCGCCTAATTCACACATCAAAAAGTGTAAGATGTTTAGGTAACATCCCTCCCTCTTCTGTGTCCACCTTCTCAGTCCACATCCCCCAGCAGGAAGCCACTAATTATTAGGATAGTTTTTTAGATTATTTTGTCCATTCCCGAGATAATACAGACATACTTTTCTCTGATTAACATTTTTCTGCACCTTGATTTTTTTTTTTTTATCACTTAATACACCTTGGAGATTCTTCTATAGTGATAATGAGACTACTCAGTGAATTTAGAGTGGTCTCATTATCACTATTCTCATAATTATTAAGGTACAATTTACATACAATATGATGCACCTTATATGATGTACAATTAGAATACATATATAATTTATTTTTTAAATATATTTTATTGATTTTTTTACAGAGAGGAAGGGAGAGGGACAGAGAGCTAGAAACATCTATGAGAAACATTGATCAGCTGCCTCCTACATACCTCCTACTGGGCATGTGCCTGCAGCCAAGCTACATGCCCTTGACCAAAATTGAACCTGGGACTCTTCAGGCCACAGGCCGACGCTCTATCCACTGAGCCAAACTGGTTAGGGCTGGATAGGTTTTGATAGAAGTAGAAATTCAGGGTGTTATGGTAAGGGCATAATTTAATTTTTTAAGAAACCTTTTCAAAGTGGCTGTACCAGTTTACATTCCCACCAGCAATGTATGAGAGTTCCAGTTTCTCTACATTCTCACCAACATCTAGAATTGGTACCAGGCTGGTGTGTTCAGTGGTTGAGCATCGACCTATTAATGGAGGGCCTCTTCCTTTGGCAAAGTGAAGAAGGTGCTTTAAGAGAATCTGTACTCCGCCAGAATTTGGTTAAGCTTTCCTAGACACCCAACATAAAAGGTGGAAGATTTTCTTTAAAAAAATCTTATTCAAATACTGTTAGTTATTTTTTCAGAAAAATGTGTCCTAAGAGCCCAGCTCAATGACTTTTCACAAAGTGAATCCACCTTTAAAACCTGCACCCGGACCAAGAAACAGCACACTGTCTGATCCCCGAAATCCCTTTGTTGGTCCCATCGGATCATTACCTTCCCTCATACATAACCACTCTTTTGACTTTCATCACCATTGATTAGCTTTGAACTTCACAAGAATGGAATCATGCAGTCTACACTGTTCAGTGTCTGACTTCTTTCACTCAACATTATGCTAAACACGTGTAGTTGTAGCTCCTAACTGCTGTATAATGTTCAACTGAGTGAACATAGCACAATTCATTTATCCATTCAATTATGCTTTTGTGTGTTTTTGTTAAACCTCACCCAAGGATATTTTTTCATTGCTTTTTTTAGAGAGAGGGAGGGGAAGAAACACAGAGAGAGAAACATCAATGTGAGAAAGACACTTCAATTGGTTGCCTCCCACATAGAGGTGCAGGAAAAAGACTCACTCCAGTTATATTGTAGGATGGAGGTTTATTGGAAGGAAACACCAGACAGGCTCCCAAGGAAGGCTCTAACCATGAGGCACTAAAAAGAATGGGACCTTGGACCAAGAAGGGTCCCAACCACTGCTAATGGAGCTCATTAGTCCTCCCATTTCTTCCCAACCTGTTAGGTCTGTGCTGATGTCCCATTACTCCCCATGTTTCCCAACCCAAAGCCCAGAGCAGTGGGCTCTCTGTTCTTCCCACCACCTTACTCCAGTCTCTCAGGAGAGTCACTAGCCTACCCAAGAACTGGCTCCCTTCAGGTACTGACTTCCTGGGAGCACATTATTACTTCTTGATGACCCTCATTCATCTTTACAGCCCCTGGCACGAGCCTCCAGGAAGAGGACGTGAACTCATTGGATCGTGGAGAGGAATGTACCTGGAGCAAAAAGAAGGATGCTGATGACATTGTGTCTGTTCCCTACGGCTAGAGAAGCAGATGGGGGCACCTCTTCTTCCAGGGACTAGATCTGGCACAAAATGTCTGCTCAGGCAACCCCACTGCCTGGCATGCCCTCTCCCTAGGGACCATCAAATCTTCTTGTTTTCCTCAGTCTTAATGTTTGAGGAGGACTGCCTCCTCCAGGAAACCCATGACCATGGCTTTCCCTTCAGCAGATTGGCACTGAGATAGAATTTGCCCTGCTAGCAGCATTCTTATCATTGTCAAAAGTCTCAGGGATGAAGCTATAGCTAGGAATAAAATAAAAACTACATTTACCATAATCCTTTACAGCCTCGAGTGGCCATGTGACTAAACTCTAGCCAATGAGAAGTGAGTGGATATGACTTGTGCAACATTCATTTATGTCCACAATGGGAATGGTGTACCTTCAACTTCCACTCTTCTTGTTGGAGGGAATGTGAATGCAGTGTGGTCACTGTGAACCCTCACAATCAAGATAAGCTAGAAGGAACCAGAGCACCAACAATTTAAACCACCATAACATATCCAGACTAATATGGGAGAGAGAAATAAAATTTTCTCAAGTTGAAGTTACTGTATTTGGTCTCTTGTTAGAGCACTTATATTATAGCTAGTACAGAGTGCTAGTACAGTGTGAGGAGTAAAAAGCTCCTCTTCTAATCCATCCAAACAGTCCAGAATGGGTTTGGACAAGAAGGATGTGAGGAGGAAGTATATTGGAAGATAAATGGAGAGATGAGATTCAGAGAAAAGAGAAGGAGAAGTGGACAACATGATCAACCCTTTTTCTTCAGTGTCCTCCAAGGTCAACATCCTCCTGGGTATATTAGGGTTCACTCCCTACTCTCACCACCTATTTCCTTGGGGGCAAGAGGTTTGGAATCAGGTCATAGAATGTTAGATGTCACAGCGTTTTTTTCACAGAGGCGGTCAGGATCCATTGCAGCCTTGTTTACCAGGACCAAGTCATCAGAGATTCCATTGGAGTCCTCCTCCTAAAGGCAGGCAATGCCACACGGTCAGCTCAGGGGTAGAGCACAGGATAAAGTCCCAAATGTGGCTGCATCAGGATCCATGAGTTTCCCATAGAGAAAACCCTGGTCACAGGAGGATTCTGGGAGATGTCATCACCTGATCCCTAACTCTGGAGGGCAGTCCCCCAGACCCCAAGCCTTGGGTAAGGGTCTCAAGGGAATTGGTGAGAATGTGCATGGCTAGAAGCCCTGTCCCACCAAATGGATTTTCTGCAGAAGGGTACCATCAAGGAGAAGGATAAACAGTTTTTCACTCTTGCCCAGGTAATGGGCAGAGAGATGCCAAAACACAGGTGGCATTCCAAGATGTGTCTTGAAAGTGGAGGTGTTGCTGCTAAGTTCAGAATGTCTGCCCCAGTCATCCAGCCAGCCGCACAGCAAACACGTGGCTTCTCTCTGCCCTGATCAGAAGATGGCTCCCCCTGTCTTCTCAAGGGGCTCTCTATATTCTCTCCCCTGACTTCCCTTATCCCCAGAAACCAGCCTATAAATGAGAGCGGTTTCTAGGGGCCAGCCCTGCACTGTGGGGTAGCTGGGCATTGTGTCTGTGTGTGCCCACATGGTGGTTAGATACCTGCACGATGTCCTTCTGAGAAGCCATCTCCACCGAATTCCCACCCATTCTCAGCTTATGAAAACGTCTCCTGTGAGGGCAAGAGTGGACTCAGACAGCCTCTCCTCTTCCTGCCTGTCCCCATTTCCTTCACCCGCCCTACATGCTTGTCCCAGACTGCTCACTGCACCAAGCAGAGGGGAGCATTGTGGGGAGTGGGGTATCTTATCTTTCTTCCCTCCCAGCCCCTTCTTCAGCACAGACACGGTAGAGATAAGGAAAGAAGAAAACTACAGCAAGGTGGATTTAGAGGTGATTCTAGAAAAGATGCCCGAATTTGGAACGTGGGAAGGAAAGAGGACAGGCTAGAAGGTATGGAGCCTGTGAATTTGGTAGGAAGGACATGGGGGAATGTTAGGGGAAAAGAGAGAAGGCTGAGGTGGCCCCATCTACTCTCCAGCTCTGTACCCACCTCCAGACGTAGCAGGCTCCCAGGGCCAACAGGAGGACGAGGAGGCCAGCCAGCAGCCCCAGGAAGTAG